TCAGTACCTGATAATCATTCTTTGATTTAAAAGACTTTTTTTCCTCATTTCTAGCACAAGATCCCATCCTCCTCAACTAAGAGTTTCACCAGCTGAAGTCCAAGGCCTTACGTCACACAGCTCTTCAATTTATGCAACAGAAGATATATTCCTGGAAGGTTATATTCTAAATTGTAATATAAACAGTACAATTTATTGTGCCAGAATAATAATTTTTTTCTAAAAGATGCTGTCATAATAAATAGTATAGGAGAATTTAGCTGCCTTCTAGGGCTTTTCGTCTCATCTAGTTTAGGAGCTAGGACATGTTTATATGAAAAAATAACTATCATGCTAGGAAGGATATTATAGACAGTAAATACATAGTACAAATAAGCAATCCCTCAAGAAATTCAAAGAAAACATCACATCTACTAAGGTAGGCAGGAAAAGCTTCAAAAAAGAAACAGAATCTGAGTTGGGCTTGATGGATGATCCAATTTCAATAGGCAAGGGACTGCACAGTAAGGAACACTAGAGTGGTTCAGGAACAAATGAGCAGACCAGTCTGGACAAACAGAGGCTGCAAGTGGTCGGGAGTGTTCCTAGCTCCTGGAAGCCCAGGTAATCAGTCCCTGATGCCTGCCTGTATCCTTCCAATGCCCTGGATTAATTATGAGTCTTCCTAATATTTCCCAGAGTGGTCATTTCTTCTCCATTCTAACCACCTCAATACAACCCACACCCTCATTCCCTCCGTCTGCAAAGATCTCCAAACTCATCCTCCTGTTTCCCATCTTCACCATCCCAATTCACAGTACAGAACTCATGACATTTGTTATTTTATATGCATAACCCACTCACCTCAAATGTGCCAACAGCTAACTACTGCCTACAAATAAAATCATTCTCTTTCTCATTCGAGGCCTTCTAACATCTGCTCTCTATCCACCTCTCACTCCATCACTGGACTCACGCTCTCTAATATGCTAATTTCATGCCTATGCCCTTGCTCTTCCTTTTACCTGGAAAATATTCCTTATTATGTTCTCAGGCGGGGCACACATAGTTATAAAGATTGTGAACACTACAGTTCATATAAATGACACCCCACCACCACCACTGTTGGGCAGTATACAACCTCTGCAACCTTCCAAAGATGACTTGTTTCCATCCGCCTCCTCCTCCACTTTGAAGGCCAAATTGTGTCCCAGAACAACTCAATTGTTGATCAGTTGTGCCTCTGATTCCTGTATCACCAACTTAACACCATTTCTTTATTTAAAAAAAAAGTTACAATATTTGGAATACCAACAGTGCCTTGAACACAGCAGATACTCAAAAAAGATGCTTGCAAATGATGACAGGATAAGTCAAGAAAGGCAGATTGTGGGGGCACCTGGATGGCTCAGTCAGTTAAGCATCTGCCTTCGGCTCAGCTCATGATCCCAGGGTCCTGGGATCGAGCCCACATCTGGCTCCCTGCTCAACATGGAGCCTGCTTCTCCCTTTCCCTCTGCTGCTCCCTCTGCTTGTTCTCTCTCTCTCTCTCTCTCTCTGTGTGTCAAATAAATAAATAAAATCTTTTTTAAAAAAGAAAAGAGGGAAAAAAAGAAAGGCAGACTGGGGGGAAACCATAAAGAGCCTTAAAAGCCAAGAAAAAAGTTTTGGCTTTATCTGGTAGATGCCAAATATGGTCAGATGATCAGAATGATGTTTTAAAAAGACTAATTTCAGCAACCACAAGCAAGCAGGGTTTGAGAGACTATTGCCAAAGTGCCAGTGTAGAGGCCCTATCAGCTGGAGGAGGCCTATGGGAGGCTCCCTCTGTGACTTCCAGCCTCCTCAGCTGCTCACCTATCCATCTTATCTGTTTGGGATTACAGAGGTTGGTTTTCATATACCTACACTTGGAGAGTAAACCTTAAAACAGGACCTTTAAGCCAAGAAAAATATGCTTTTGCCTGAAATATCTGGGTATCTAGGAAACAGTTCTGACTTGGATAATTACATGCATATGTAAAATACATATACACAAATCAAGCATTCCTCTTCTTCCTTTACTTCTTTTGCAGTCCCGGGAAGTCTAACTCAATTCTCCTGTTTCCTTTGCTAATGTAGCTTGAACTTTCACTAACCTTAGAATTCCACAATTACTAGTGAATCATTTCAAGGCGAGTTATGGCTCATTTTCCTATGGTCCTCTAAAAGAATCAAGGGCACTTACGTATTTAGATATATAAATTCATTTCATTGTACTGATGGAATACTAAATAAGTAATTCTTATCTGTAAATCAAAAACTCAGAACATAATACATTAAACAAAATTACTTTACTAATGAATTTCCTTTTAAAGCATGTATCTTGGATTTCATGCCAAGATATCAATATATTAGTAATGGACTCTGTGGAACTAGACAATTTTATTTACCTCTTAGATTAAAAAACAATCTTCACTCTCCAAAGGAAGAATATTATGTGTAAGTAATGCACTGCAACCTCAAGACACATAGTATCATTGGAAACATGCACATGTCTATCAGGAAAAGATTATCAGGCACAACCTAATTTTAAAAATGAATGGAGGAGGGGCGCCTGGGTGGCTCAGTCGTTAAGCGTCTGCCTTCAGCTCAGGTCATGATCTCCAGGTCCTGGGATCGAGCCCCGCATCAGGCTCCCTGCTCAGTGGGGAGTCTGCTTCTCCCCCTCCCTCCACCTCTCCCCACTGCTCCTACTCTCTCTCTCTCTGTATCTCTCTGTCTCAAATGAATAAATAAAAAATTCTTAAAAAAAAAAAAGAATGGAGGAAAAATAAATAAATAAAACCAATAAAAATGAATGGAGGGGGGCCTCTTAAAACAGTATCCAAGGGGCACCTGGGTGGCTCTGTTGGTTAAGTGTCTGCCTTCGGCTCAGGTCGTGGTTATCTCAGTGTTCTGGGATGGAGGCCCACATGGGGCTCCCTGCTCAGCCGAGAATCTGCTTGTCCCTCTCCCTCTGCCTCTCCCCACACTTGTGCTCTCTCTCTCCCTCAAATAAATAAAAAAATTTTTAAGTGAATAAAAAATTTAAAAAACAGCATCAAAAGTAAAACAATATACAATTTTGTGTTTGGGCTCAAAGAGACTGTCTCCCTTGAAATCCAACTTTACTGTTTATTCTTCCTACCAAACATGCAAAATAAACTCACCAGTACTAAAAACAGAAGTATATTATCTCTATCGAAAGGTAAACACGATAGAAGTAAAGATTAAAATATTTTCTTTTCGGGGCGCCTGGGTGGCCCAGGTCATGATCCCAGGGTCCTGGGATCGAGCCCCGCATCAGGCTCCCCGCTCTGCGGGAGGCCTGCTTCTTCCTCCCCCACTCCCCGTTTGTGTCCCCTCTCTCTCTGTCTCGCTCTGTCAAATACATAAATAAAACCTTTAAAAAATAATAATAAAAATTAAAAAAATAAAATATTTTCCTTTCATCCTAATAAACTGAAAAAAAAAAAAAACTATTAACTAATACTGTTTCAGGATTTGGGGCAGTTTAAATGTTTCTTCTTTTCCAAGGTAGTGATTTTTTCCCTCCCCATACTGAAGATCCTTCTGAAAGTCAGTGTGTATCTTTGGTACCAAACAATGGACAGGTGCTTTGCTAACTCCATTGGAAAAGAAAAGAGAAAAGGGCACAGACATCCATTATTTAGAGTCTATCGTTAAGTTAATCTCCTTTAGAATCTAATAATTCCATTAAAGTACATATTATGCAAAGTGTATACAATGTGTGGCCTGTATATAGTAGGCCATATTTCACTATAACCAACTTCATCTTTTCAAACACCACCAAAAATTGGCAAACAATTCAAGTTGCTCTTAGCCCAAGGTTAAATTGTTGAATACTAACAATAAAAGTTTAGGGACATCTAGTTAACTGGTTTCTATTTGCTCAAAAGTAAACTAAAAGATGGGAGCCTTGTTTCTCTCTACCTGCCCCTCCCCATGCCTGGCGATTCGCCCTCAAGAGGAGAGAGCCTACTGTACCGACCCCAGCCGCCTGGTGCCAGGAAAATAGGAGTGGGAAGTGAGGGCCAACCCGTCCCCTGGCTGGCCTCGCTGGGCCCGGAACCCGGCCTGGCTCGGCAGCCCGGAGGCAAACAGGACGGAGACGCGACCGACGGACGGAACGGACAGACGCGACAGGACGGACGGGACGGGCAGAGAAGCAGTGCGTCCTACCCGGAGGGCTCCCTCCCAGGGCCGGCGGAGTACCTGCTCCGGTCATCCAGGCTGCGGTTGTCGGCCGCCGCGGCTCGCCAGTCAGGCAGCGTGCTGGCGCACAGCACCACCATGGACACGATCACGAACACGACCGACACGGTGGCCAGGATCTGCGCGGCCAGCGACGACGTAGGCTCCTCGAAGGTCCGCCGCATGCGCTCGAGCCAGCGCCTGGAGGGGGCCGCCTCGGCACCGCCGGGTCGCGCCTCGTCGCGGCCCAGCGCGCCCGGCTCGTCGGCCGAGTAGAAGGTGTAGGTGTCGGACATGCGGTCGTCGAGGCGGCGCTGGCAGCAGTACTCTAGGTGCGCGCCCTCCAGGCCCCAGTAGATCATCTCGTTGTAGAAGGAGAGCTCGCACATCCGCGGCGCGAAGCGCAGCTTGCCGTGGCCGCGCACGTAGAGCAGAATGAAGCCGAAGGCCTCCGAGTGCCGGTCGAAGAAGTACTCGTTGCGCTCGCGGTCGTAGTCGTCGCACACCTCGAGCACGTCGCGCTCCGAGCGGCAGCCGTGCAGCCGGCTCACGCGGCGCAGCGGGAAGTCCTTCAGCAGCTCCCGGGACAGCGAGTACCGGGCGCCGCCCACGTTCAGCACCACCGAGGCCGCCCCGCTGCGCCCGAAGGTCATGGCTGGCCGCCCCGAAGCCCC